GGACCATTAATCAATTCTCCAGTCAAAGGCTTAAATGTGCATACATACAGCAACAAACTACACCTTATTTCTAATACAATCGAAGTCAGCTACATATCAGTATACTGGATAAAGCATAAGAGATTGACAGGAGGACGTTCCTCGTGCATTACAAGTAAATCAAATGGCTAACGTATATTGGCATAATGCACACTAAAACATTTCTCAAATTCAACCAGTTTCCTGTTCAAATTCATCACCCTCGGACTCTTCCACGTTATCAGGATCATCATCATCTGCATCATTGTCAATATCTTCCTTATCGTTATCAATGATAGTCTTCCCAATTATGGTTAAATTGTTATTCGCCTTTCTGATTTCATTACACTGCAAAGCAACATGAAATAGTTATGAATAAACCAATTATGAAACTGAAGATGGGTCAGCTTCTGATTTAAAATGAGAACGGAAAACTAAAATAAAATGTTACAGATGATTTCTTCAAAACATGATCCTGGACCGGCTCCACAACCCCTGACTCTTTTGATTTTTGATGCACTTAAATGATTAATCAGAAAAACAGAATATTATTTATTACACACTATTTTACCAACACCTCTGGAATCAATAGCCATTAATTGAAAGCAAAAAAGAACTAAGTCCCATATTTCACTTTGACGTTAGAAGATAGAGGGAATTGTAATGTGACTGAACAATATAACATATTTCAGCATATGTTCATGATTTAATTAATGGAAACATTTGTCCTTTTTGTCAAGGAAAGATATAAAGCCGTCTTTGAGCAAACAATCATGACCCAAAGAGACTTGTTAAATCCCAAGAGAACCTGAGAATCTCTACAGGCTTATGTCCATATATTAACTAATCTATGATTTTTAATAATCTTATCAACAGTCTATCATTGAGTTTTAGACTCCAAACTAAATTTCACGATGCTGTATATTTAAGTGCTGCACATCTTTAAAGATCTCTGATGATTAACCATTAAATAGTTAAGATATCTCATTCACCTCTACTGGAAACAATTTTCTCATCCATCTCACTGAATCAATGGCATCGCGGTGATATTCAGTTAAAAATGAAAACTAAAAGCCTCAAAAGATCTCACAGATCTTCTCCACCTTCTCCTAAAATAATTCCAGATCTATTATCATCATTTAATTTGTTTTCCTCAAAAGAATTCACTGTAGCTCTTCAATTTCATACATTCACTCCATATCATTTGAATCTAGCTCACAATAAATGCACATATAGAGATCCCAACAAGCCATCTCATCCTGTATGTGGGACGTTCAGAATTGCTGCTCCTTAATCAATTTTATCTCGGGTACAAATTGGTAAGACACAACAAACCATCATTATTCCCAGACTCCCAGTAAATTTAGGGCACATTACATGAACCCTTTCTTAGCAATTCCGTACTATTCAATAAAAGATCCAATAGGAGATGAAATCAACCATATCTTTAGCAACTATAACAGCCCATGGTAATTTTGATCTACCCCTTCGTCTTCGATCTTGCTCTACAAAATCGGGTCAGTCACTCTTACGGAAGGGAGCCTCTTTAGGATGATGCAAAATATGTCACTTAACCATTTAATTCGTCCTTAGACTTAATTTATCCTCAACTAGCACTAGCTCCACCCGTTACCATACCTTATTTATTATCTTATCCATTTAGTATGATTGCAAAATCAGCATGGCACATAGGCAGGAAATATGGAGTTCCTTGAATTTTCCATTGATGATAGAGCCCCTAACCACCCAAAACAGTTTAGTAACTTACTTTTATAATTGGTCATGTGTCACCAGTTCACTATAAATAGGGAATGCAATTTAGGAGAAAATGCACGACATAGAGAGAAGTACTGAGTTATGTGTTGCAGGTAGTAGAGAGAAAGGAGAAGGGTTATTGTGATTTTCCTACTACATTGAAATACTTATCCATCTATACTTGTCCATAGCTTTTACCCCACATAAAATTAGGGGTTTCCACGAAATATCGTCGTGTTCATTTGTTTCCTGTTTTTCTCAAATTCACTTCAGCTATTTCAAACATCAACTTGATTATGATAACGAAGGAAGCCATCAGATTCAAGAGCATATTTGGCTAATCTTAAAAAGGTTTCTTTAAGTAAATAGTTTGGATAAGTAAATCATCATTCGGATGTAAGGTATATATTTTCAAATTTCTTTGACTTGAAAGTAAGTTAACTAAAACAAGAAGTTACTCAAAAGGTAGTTACACTTCGTTTTTAGGTTTAACCAAACATGTCCCAAACAAGAAGACCAGAATTATTGCTACAATGCTCGAGGGTTTCCCATGCTCGTTTGAACCAAAAAATTAAAGAAATAAAAATCATAAATGCATTGCAACTCATTGATTACACGCAGATACCCATCACGAATATGAAATTTTGCAGTATAACTCAACACGGTATATCAGATGACAGTATTCAATAAAAGCAAAGTTAATAATATAAATAAGAGGAAAATAGAGAAATCATGACCTTGTCTTCGTAATCGGATTCTTCCATAGCAAGAAGGAGCTCGTCGTTTTGGGGTTGGGGCCACTGCGGTGGAAGCAAATGCGACGTCGGAATGATCCGGGTCGACCATGGGTACTGGGTCATGAAAGCCGGGTACTGCAGCATTTTTCCTTTAGGTTTAGTGGAGCTGCTCTGTCCTCTCTCGTCTTATATTTTGAATGGGAAAATTTTTCACTAGAAGACACCTTACTTTATACGTTTGTTTTGGGTTGGTTGCTCTATTTTAATTTATTTCAATATGATCCTCCAACTTACACATGTTTCATTTTGGTCAAATCTCATATTTTTCTTGGTTTAAAATAGCGAAAATTTTATAGTTGCAAATATAACATAGAGACTTGACCATTCTACCAGTTAGTTCGTGAAATTACTAGCCAGGCCATGTTGAAGGATTCCTCCAAAATTAAGGATTTATAAGTTGATTATTTTTTTGTTGATGTGATGAATAAAAGTTATATAGTCATTACATTTTGAGCATAGCAATTATGAATCATTTATGTATGAGATACTGAA